ATGTTAGTACAATATTTTGCTAAATAGATACTACTTATACAATTAAGAATGAAGCCACATAAAAGACTGCTGACTTTACATATTTGCTTATAAAAATGACAAAGCACAGAGACAGTTCCACTGGATGAAGTTAAATTTGCAGATAGTTAATAGGCAAATTCACATTCTCCCACAACATGGACAGTTGACAATTGTGAACTTCCTTAGAAATAAAATATATATTTATTGTGTAAATAGCGTTAAATAGCTAATTTTTAGATTTATGAAATCTAATATGTCAAAATCCTCAGCTGACATGACACACTGAAACTGTGCTGGTTTATGTGAGATGAAAATGAGACACTATGTCTCAAATGCTGTTTGGTTATAACTTTTGGAATAACCTGTATATACATTTATGAATAACATGCTTTTCAAAATGGGCATACTTTGGTCAGTGTGTTGTAGTAGGGATGGTTTGAGTGATGAGTATAATATTAAATTGGGAAAATATTTTCTGTGACCATTATTAATATATGTACTTCTTTGATGAATTTACTTCTGTTTCTATTTAAAATTATAAAAGCTATTGACTTGTACTGTAAGTCTTTTTCCACCCTATTCATATTACAATCTCTCACATCTTTGAGGTAGGAATAAAATTTTTAATAAGTAAATTCATAAAACCACATAATGGAATTCTTAACACAGGCAAAAATTTGAGATACAGTACAGGGGCTATAAGCCAGGCCACTACTTGAATATTTTTTCTTCTAAAAAATTCAGCTTTAGCATGTGTGATTTCCCAAACCTCAGTGACAAGATGACAGACATTTGTAGTTCTTAATTATTCATAAACCTTGTTAATAATACTTAGAAAGTGCAGTTATTAGAAAAGAATTAAAGAATAACAGTCCATCTATATTACTACAGTTTGTGAACAAGTTTTTCAAAGAGAAGAAGATTTTGAAATTGTATTTTAAACTGGATGACCACATATACTTATGTACTTGTGTATTATATTTTGAGGAGACTTTTTTATGACTGGTTTTTTCAGTGCAGTTTAAGGGAAATAGCAGTTCCCTTCAGTATGTCATAATTAATCAGATCTCACACGATACCATTTCAAAAGTGGTCAAAAAGAAGAAAAAGATGTGATCATTATAGAAGGATGCACTATACACTAATACAGATTGATAGTATGTTTATTATGGATGATTCCTATACCTACCTTCTAAAACAAATTCTTATTCTAAAACAAATAATAAGCAAAAGAAAAACAGTAAAATCATTGCTATATATTATGCCTATTGAAATAACATATGTTTGCTTCATATCTCTGCACTTGCATTAGCCCAGTGGTAGAAGAAAATGTGCAAAGCACTCTTAAGCAAGCTATTCCAAATGAAACTACATTGTTGCATACAGTTACAGTTCAACTACAATAAATACCCTGTTTGATATTAATATATTCATTAAGATTCTCTTTGCTGGTAAATATGTAATACTGCCAAGCTTCTTTGTTAACATGAAGTTTGCAATGCAGATGACCACCTGTCTGTAAGAGTACAAGATGTTTTGATATAAGATCATATTCAGATTGTCAATGTAATCAAGACTGGAATATAAGAAAGAAATTCTTGTAGGATAAGGTAGAGGTCAATTATGCTATAAGTCTTTGGTGCATTGCCTACAGAGGCGTGCACTGCTCCTTCACAGAGGTTCTTTGGCTTCACGGGAGCTCAGACCAGAAATGGATAGGAAATAGAAAAGGGACGGGCCCCTGTAGATGTGACAGACACCTAAGACTCGCAATTTAGAAATTAATCTGTCCAGGGCTGATGACTGCTGTAGGACAAGTACACTATCTAAACCATCCAGACAGAACTCTAAATAATGCAGTTTTTCTATTCTAGCCTTTAGTATAGGGGAAAATTTAATGTTTTGGAATGTAAAAAACCACATCAAGGCTCATCTACTTTCACAGAAGCAACTAATTTTGGATAAGTTTCTAACTCCATCTCCTTAGAATGGACAGAAATCATTATCATTTTCATCAACCTTTATGTTGACCATAAAGAGTCAGATGTTGTGAGGTGCTGACTTATGTTGTCATGCCCATTGCCAATGAGCAGCTGACAAGGCTGCTGATTGTCTTAGATAAATCACTTCAACTCCTTTGAAGCAATAGACTTGGATTAAAAGTAACCATTACTGTAAAGTACTTCAAAACGGCAGTAAATGCAAAAGTAATCTCATGAGAGCAGCAGATGTTGCTCAAATTTTTCATTCATAGTAATTTTAAACTAAATTCTAAAGACTTGCCCCCCAAAGAAGAACCAGGGATTAGTTTATTAAAATTATTGCTATATTTAGCAGCTTAAAAATTTGCACCAACATGCAAATTCTGTGATCTAGATTTAATACAAATATTTCAAAATACAGATCTGAAAAATGTTCTCCATTTTTATTACAGGCCTATTCAATAAAATATATACCTTTGGTATAATTTGTTCTGTTGTATATAGCAAAGCATTTTCATTGTCACCAAAAATATATTTTAGCACTTGCGAATTACAGGGGACTTTAATTCCTCAGATAACCCACAATATTGGATACAGTGTCTTCAACCGGCTCATAAATATGTAGACATGATACACATGTACATTTTCTGTTGGAAATGGCAAGTGACAGATCTTTGAGAATCCTAAACTTACTAATGATTAAGCTACTTAAGCTGTCTTTATGCTACTTTAATAAATATATCATAAGACATCATTTTCATTGAAAATATGCTTTAAATAAGGCAACTTTTGTAAGAATTCAAATATTGTTTTCTCTTGCATGAAAAACTCATTTTCTTGTAAGGTAGTCATGCCTCCCTTGCTATTCTAAAATCACTATGCACAAAGCAATAAAATTACAGAGCTAAGCATCCTCCAAGGATGAAATCACAGTGAAGAAAGCTGTGATATACTTTATGCTGTTAATCATGTTGTATCATATCGCATCACATGATGATACCACAATAGAAGAGAGCTGGTTATTTACACAGTGGTTCTGACTGAAAAATGTAAACAAAGATGAGTCAAGCACCTTGGCAATGCATTGACTTTCTAGTTCATAACCAGGGTTTTACAATGTTGTTCATTAGTTCTGTTGTTAACATGACATGAGGCACCTGTTTTTAAGGTAAGAAACTGGTCAGATGATGAAGTGTCAGTACTGCTTTCAAGTAAATATGAATATGTTTCCTTTTAGTTCATTATTAAGTCAAAGGTATGCTAATCTATGATCCAAGAAAGATGAAATGCTGTCAGATTCATATGCAGTTTAAGGAGTTCCATGACATAGAGTAACTTGTTTTCTAAGACATATAAGCTCAAGAAAATCTCCACTACAGTAAATAATATTTTAAAAAAATTCTTTAGGTAAAATTCACATTTTAACATAGATTAACAGAAGTCTGATGGCTATTCAGAAACTCTTAGTCCCATTGACATTGTTGGAATCGGCTTGGAAAAGCTCAAGTGTACTCAAACATCGCTGTAGGTATAAATGCTTGAGCATTAAAAGCTATGACAGTTGGAGCTTCTTTCCAGAACTAAACGCTCCTTCTTTTTAAGGTCAATTTGAAGGTGAATCCTATTGTGAATTGCTTTTCTCCGCCAGAGGACTTCATTATAAACAGACATTCTTTGTTGCAGGAGACAGCCTAACTATTCTTCCTCACTTCACAGTGTACTTCCCCTCACTGAAGAGGTGCCTGCTATCTGTGGAAAGTCCACATAACACATCCTGTCCTGAGAGTCACAAGTTCCTCTTTGTGCCACTGTCATAAGTAGTATCTTCTCTGTCCTATTATTTAAAGGTATCTAATTGTTCTAGGTTATTCTACTATGTTCATAATTGTGTTAAACACCTAATTATTAATTTGAAAATCTCATCTGTGTCAGACTACAAAATAATCTCTAGTCTCAGGCTATTCTCAGGAGAACAATTTCCAAAAGATATTAAATGCTCATTCTGTATCTTATTTCCCAGGGTTGCATGGGGTTAAGATTCCACTGACTAGACAAAACTTGCCACTCGTATTAAATGCATTTATCTTCTTCTCACAGAGGTTTAGAACTTCTATCCTTTACACAGGTGAGATATAACAATCTTCCTCACCTATGTTTCTAGAAGGTGTTTCCTCAGAAGCTCCTCTGGGGCACTTCCCCATTTCATGAGCTACCATCTCTTCAGAAATAATGGTAATTTAAATTTCTCTTTCCAACCCTCCTACACATTTTTTTCATGCTGGAATGGCTTGACCTGATGAATCACAGCTCTTTTCTTTCCTTGCTGTTTATCCTCCTGCCCTTGGAGCTTTGAAGATAATCAGTCAGGCATGTTTCTCCCCTTAAAAGCTATTTTAAAATTGAGAAGTCAATTGAGAATGTCATTCTTAGGAGGGTTGCTGAGGTTTAATATCCAAAGAAAATTATAACTGTGTCCATGTTAGTAGCAAAGCAATATAGATAGAGGTACTTATCAAAAATCCTGATGAATTTTCAATTACCTTGATTTTTCACTTCACATCTCGTAATATATTTCATAAAGGCCTGATTCCTTCTTTTAAAAGAAGTTTCCAGAGGTTTTAGAATCAAGACCACAACCTGGCCAGAAAAAGCAGGTGGAAACGGCAGGAAACTTTTATGATTTGTTTTACTGCACTAGGCAGTGTGGATACTTCTGTTTCAATCTCTTTCTAGGTGTTTGTCTTCATTTAAGGGAAAAAAACAAGTATCCATGTATAACTTGTTATTCAGTCAAGGATATCATTATGTCATTATACAAGAGATATACCATTGTATAATAGGACCTGTATACCATGGCTCTATATCAAGCTCCCAAATACTATGAAAGGAATTTGATCAAAGTGCTCTCAGTGTAGAAGATATATTTCACTATAATATCTAACAGTAGAACTAATAAAACAGAGACTTTATTTGGATGCTGTTGAATGACAGTAAGATTCCCATTTTCAGACAGAGTCCACCTTTACTTGATTGTTGTTTGTAATCAATGGAGAAGGTTTACTTCTCATTCTGTCTCCTGCATCATTAGAACTATCCTGGAAAAAAACATTTGCTGTACAAAAAGTGACAATAATTCTCTTGTATTCTCTTCTGAAGTTCTGATTCAGGAGTCCATATACTATAGCATTAAGGCAGCTGTTGAAATATGCCATATAATAACTAGATACAAACAACCACTCTGGAATCCTAGGGATTACAGTTTTTGGGTTGACAGCCACAGCAAGGCCTATAAAGTTCAAAGGGGCCCAGCAGACTGCAAACAGTACAAATACTACAAACATGGTTACAAAGTTTCTGAAGTCGTGTGGCTTCAGCCTAGGGTTGTTATCTGGTTTAACCCTTCGCCTTACCTGAATAACGAGGATCCATATTCTCAAGTAACAGAAAGTAACTACGGCTATGGGAAGCAGGAAATGGAAAAACACAATTGCTATTGTATATGCTGAGCTCACAGATTGTGCAAATGTACACGAGTAAATCCTGGGGTCATACTGTAGCGATCCCACAAACAGGTTGGGCACAATAGCAACAAATGTCAGGACCCATATAAGAACAACATAGCACAATGAATTCTTGTTGCTGTATAGCTTGTCATATTTGAGACTGTGGCAGATATAGCAGTACCGATTGATAGCGATGCCTGTAATATTGAAGATTGATCCAATGACACTTAGGCCCATCAAGAAGCCACTAATCTGGCAGTGTAGGTATCCCAGTTTCCATCCGTTGTGAAACACAGATGTGAGGACCAGTGGATATGGGTAGATAGCTACAATCAAGTCTGCAACTGCCAGGCTTACAACAAACACATTTCCTGTAAAATAAATATAAAAAGGCAAGTATTAGTTTTTCTTTTGGTCTTTTTCTGTCATTTCTACTCTCATTATATTTATGAGAAGCCTTAAGCGGAACACTTTAAATGTAATTAGTTTCTACTTTCTAGATCAAAATTCATTATATCAGAAATAAGACACTCATTTTGAGTCTAAAAAGGTATCTTAAATTAAAGATGCACCTTTTAAAAGAAAACTGTCTTTAAGCTTAATTACCATGACCTAGTATATTTATCATGTCATTTATTTGGATTCTTCCAAACACACAGACTTAGAACTAATATCAAATTAAGATATCCATAACTTTAAGCCTTGCCTTGGTTTTAAATAGTATCTCTTGAAAAATCAGCAGAAATAATATTACTAATAAATTTCAAAACTCACATTTACCTTCCTTATTTAATTTAATTCCCTTTCAGTACATTACCCCTTAACTTTTCCAGTCCTGAAATGAAAATCTCTTTTCCCCCATTTATATTTCAAGCTTCCACGACTTTTACGTGACTTTTATAGCAACTGTCTTTGAATCTGCTGGCTAGGACTTCTCTAAACTTAACTTCTAAGAGTCTAGCTGAACACAGACTTAGTTGTCTTTTCTAAACTCAGAGACATGCTCTTCAGTAAAAAAGTGATGCTGGGCAGTGACCTAGACAGTTCCTAGATACTACTGATGTCCCGCTCTTCTCTGTCTCCAAACAGAAAAATTAAGCAATGAAATATTCTCTTGGTTCATTTTTTAACAAAGAGAGATGATAGAACTCCTCTCTCCTTCAAAAACAATGGAATCCACCAGGTTTTGAATTAATCTTTTGAATATAGATTATATTTTCTTTTTTTAGTTGCTTAAACTGAATACCTCCCAACCATTCTAGTTTCTAAGAAGAAGCTCACGAGATACATTGAAGTCACTTTTATTCATTTTTAAAAGTAACTATTACATGTATTGGTCTAGTTGTTCATGTCCATTTCTACAGAAAGTTATAAATGTGTGTATACACATGCATGTATGTAGGTATATAAATGCATATTCTAAATAGGCATTTGTGTGTTTGAGATTCTGTTTTGCAATTCCGAGATTATTCAAGGAAGATGAAATATGAGCTTCCGTTGCAACCTGTAATAAAATACATTGTTAGCTTTAGATGATGTAGATTTCATTATTAGTCCAAAGTGGGGTTGGTGAACTGTTTTGCTCTTGGGCAGACAAAACACAAAAAAATAAAAAGAGTTTATAAGAAAAGATAAAAGTATCTATGGAACAATAGGGCATTCTATCTCAAACAACTTAAAATGCATCTTCTCTCACTAATCTTAGCCTTGAAATGGCCAGCTAGAAATATTACGTCTGCAAACGCTGACAGAGAAAACCAGAAAATATCTGTCTCAGGATGCTACTTACACTGTCCTGTTTAAATTTTGATACGTGCAAAAGTACCACATTTGATATTTATACAAATGTCCTTAATTTAAAGACTGCTACACTAACTGTGATCAATTTTGTTTCTGGATTTATAAACAACTTTCTCATGATAGCGTCTATAGTTGTTTCTTCTTTGTCTGGGAATTCAATGCCAGACTGCAATATGCTTATCCTGAAGCCTTTGACAGAATTCCAAATCATTTCAGAAAAACATCAGAGTTCCTTTCAGCAGAAGATGATATGGGGAAAAAAACATTGCTTTCAGAATTTACCCTTGATGTAGTGGCAAGTGATACAAGGATAAAACACTACATGGAACTTAGAGCTCTGGTTTTTCTTATGAACCAAGGATTGGAAAGTAAATGAAAATTTGCTGTTAGTGGTTTTTTTCCCACTAACAAGAATATTGCAAAATTGATAAAACGGTGACATATAAAATCACAATACTTATTTAAATCACAGAATATGCTGAGTTGGAAGGGATTCATTAGGATCATCGAGTCCAAGTCTTATCCCTGCATAGGACCATCCCCGTGAGTCACACCATGTGCCTGAGAGTATCATCCAGACACCTCTTCAACTCTGCCAGGTTTGGTGCTGTGACCACTTCCCTGCAGAGCCTGTTCCAGTGCCCAACTACCCTCTGGGTGAAGAATCTTTTTCTAATATCCAACCGAAATCTCCCCGGACACAACTTCAGGCCATTGCCTTGGGTCCAGTCACCGGTCATCATAAAGAAGAGATCAGTGCCTGCCCCTCCTCTTCCCCTCACAAGGAAGTTGTAGACTGCAATGAGATCTCTCCTCAGTCTCCTGTTCTCCAAGCTGAACAGATCAAGTGACCTCAGCCAATCCTCACACAGCTTCCCCTCAAGGCCCTTCACCATCTTTGGACACTCTCTAAGAGCTTAATATCTTTCCTATATTGTGGCGCCCAAAACTGCACACAATATTCAAGGTGAGGCCGCACCAGTGCAGAGCAGAGAGGGACAATCCCCTCCCTCGACTGGCTGGCGATGCTTTGCCTGATGCCCCCCAGGACACGGTTGGCCCTCCTGGCTACCAAGGCACTGCTGACTCACATTCAACTTGCTGTCAAAGAGGATTCCCAGGTCCCTTTCCATGGCACTGCTTTCCAGCATCTCATTCCCCAGTCCGTATATATATCCAGGGTTGCCCCATCTCAGGGGCAGAATCCAGCACTTCTCCTTTTTGAACTTCATATGGTTGGTGATTGCCCAGTCCTCTGATTTGTCAAGGTCTCTCTGCAGGGTCTTCCTGCCTTCCAAGGAGTCAGCAGCTTCTCCCAGTTTTGTATAATCTACAAACTTGCTTAGTATCCCTTCCAGTTCTGCATCCAAATGATTTATGAAGATGTGGAAGAGCACAGGGCCCAAGATAGAGCCCTGTGGAACCCCACTAGGGACAGGTCACCAGTCTGATGTTGCCCCATTCACTGTTACCCTCTGTGCTCCACCCATGAGCCAATTGTTCACCCACTGCATTATGTGTTTATCCATTGTCCATTCTGGACATTTTATCCAGAAGGATCCTGTGAGGGACAGTATTGAAAGTTTTCCTGAAATCCAAAAGGATTACATCAACTGGTTTCCCTTGAACAACTAGGTGGGTTACCTTGTCATAAAAGAAAATCAGGTTGGATAAGCAGGACTCTCCTCTCATGAAGTTGTGCTGGCTGTGATCAATGACTGCGTTGTCTTTCAGATGTTTTTCAACACCTCCCACAATAATCTTCTCCATAACTTTATAAGGCACTGAAGTGAGACTGATGAGTATGTAGATTCTGGGGTCCTCCATCCTGTCCTTCTTGAAAACTGGGACAATGTTCACCAGCTTCCAGTCAGCTGGATTCCCAAGACCACTCTAAAACCACCAAGAGAGGTTGTGTGATGACATCAGTCAGCTCTTTGAGGATTCTGGGATGAATCCCATCAGGCCCCACAGATTTGTAGGGATGCAGCTGGAGCAGCAGATCCTGCACAATTTCAAGGTTGACTGGGAGTTGATCATTCTCACAGTCATGGTCCTGGAGCTCAGGGCACTGAGACCCCCTTGGTCCATCATCCAAGTTGAAGACAGAGGCAAAGAATGCATTAAACACCCCTGTCTTGCCTCTGTCCCTGTTTGTGAGGTGATCATCTCCATCCTGTAACAGGCTGATGATATTTCTACACTGCCTATTGCCATTAATGTACTTGAAAAACCTCTTTTTATTGTTCCCCACAGTTCTGGCAGCTTCAACTCTAGCTGGGCTTTGGCAGCACAAATTTTCTCCCTACAGCAGAAAGCAGAATCTCTGAATTCTTCCCATGTCACTTGACCTTGTTTCCACTGGGCATGCACCTTCCGTTTTTGCCATATTTCCAAGAGAAGATCCCTGTTCAGCCAAGCCAGCCTTCTGCCTTGCCTGCTTCACTTCCAGCATTTCGGAACTGACGATTCCTGTGCCCTTAGGAGGTGATGTTTGAAAAGTTACCATCACTGATGGACCCCAGCATCTGCAAAAACACTTTACCAGGGGACCTTACTTACTAATTCTCTGAGCAGCCTGAAGTCTGCTCTCCTCACATCAAGAGTTGTGGTTTTGCTTGAAAGAATTTTATATATATACATATATATATATATATATGCTGTTAAATTTCTGCTTAGCTGGAGACTGCCCATCCCAAGCTTCCTTCTCTGACATCCACTGAAACTTCTGCTGGTGCTCACTATTAATATTGTTAATATTCTCATTTTTTATCCACTGGAGCCAAATGATAAGGAAAGAGCTAAAAGTAGGAGATTTTTTCCCTTCGTTGAAAGGCAATACATGGTATACTTTTCTCTGAATAGTTTAACTTTGGAAACTGAGTCCAGGAAGAGTAGACACTCTGTCTTTGAATCAGCCAAATCTCAAGGTTCTATAAACTCATGAACCATAGTTGTTCCAGGTTTTCTCAGTTGGCTGCTGTAGAGTGACAAACTGAAAGTCTTGGAAACACAAGCTGCGTCATATAAAAATTGGAGGCTAGCAGGATATCTTGGGAGTCTGTCTTTTAAAAAAAAAAAAAAATATCACAAGTTTAGAAACCAAGTCCCAAGCTGCCAGTTCATGGTTAGCATGTCAGCTGAACGAACAAAGCATGGGCCTGGAAACTGCTTGGAAACCAGATACCTGCTTGCAGAGTGGACTTTTATCTTCAACTTGAGTTCAGATACATTTTCGTTGTATGTTTTTTGTTTGTTTTGAGGTTCATTGTTTCAGACTCTGAGGTTGGATCTGAAATGATGTTGAGCTTTCATATGTTATATAATATGCTATTTAAAAATATGATCCTAGCTTTAGGTACCCAAAATCAGTGGAAAATATTGTTAATTTATTCAATTTCTATATTTTAATGGCATATTGTGAAATTAAACCCTTATGTTTAGAGACTACTTGGTATTGTAGAATCATAGAATCAGCTGGGTTGGAAAAGACCTCCGAGATCATCAAGTCCAACCCTTGATGCAACACCGCCAATAGTTACTAGACCGTTGCACTAAGTGCCACATCCAG